ATAATATGTCAATGACTGGGTTGGGGTAGAGAGAGAGAAGATGAAACAGATCTTATACTCTTCCTGAAAGAATAGTAAAAAAACAGTGTCTTTTCCTATTTTTAAGTTATTTCATATATATCTTTGCATCTATCTACAGACAGAGAAATAGAAGTACATGATCTAGAAATGTCTTAAGATACTAAGAAAATGTGTTAAGTATATTTGTATAGATCTTAGGTATCATACAAATTAAAAAATATTAATAGAAACCACAAAAGGCATAAAATACACTTTAAACCATCTTTAAAATTCTTCTCAGTGATAGTGTGTGCCAAAATCTCCAAACACTAACATTGGCTGAGAGATTCAATATTTAGATGATGCATTTTTCAGGATAATGTTGTCTTAGAAAACACCAACTTCTCAAAGCTAAGAGTCACTTTCTCTATAAAGCTAACAGTCTGTGCTAACATTGGTTTACATTTTTCAACAGGCTATATCTGAAAAAGGAAGGAATGCCTATAAAATGACTTTAAAATAGTAATCTTACCAATAAAACCCCTTAGGCTAATACATAAGGAGTTCTGAGGGGGTTGGGGAATGAATAATGTTTGAAGGTGTCAATAACCTTGATGATCTGCAGAAGCATGAATAAACATGATAAAATTAAAATGTAAGGACACTTAAACAGAAACAGCAAGCTTCTTAGACACATTCATATTTGACACACAACTGACAATGCAATTACGGTGATTGGCTGATCACTGCAGACAGCAAGTGAAAAGCAGAACTCCAGGAAGCATGATACTGGGAGGCCTTGAATAGAAGGGAATGAATGAGAACCCCCATCAGTGCTCAGAATCACTCCAGTCTGAGCCATCAGTCACATTTCAAGTGCACAAAAGCCACATGTGACAAGTGGCTGCCAGACGAGGCAGCACTTACTGTTTAAAACAATACTGTTTAGAAGTGGAGAAGGCGAGATTATATCCTAAAATCTCTCACAGAACCAATAAACTAGAAAACTAGGACAGCAAAATGAGCTCTGGAATCTTGAGTCAAAACTCAGTTTTAAAAATATGTATTGCATTTACAATTTGTAAATATCCATCCAGCTAGATTTAAAAATATGAAAAAAATTAATCAAGATAATTCCAAAATTGTTTGTAGAAGGCCAGAAAGATATTTTAATATCCAAGGGAAAATAAGCTTCCAAATATTAAATGCAAGATCAACAGACTCACATTAATAGAATGGCTGAGAACACGAACTATAACGAGTATTAAGAGAAGGTACTGTCAGTGCACACGAAAATATGATTATCTCTGAAAGTAGCCTGAGAAGCCCTGGAGATGTAGTGCATAATGTGCTGGGCTGCAAACTGAAAGGCTGGCTGTTCGAATCTACCAGCTGCTCCACAGGAGAAAGATGGGCATTCTCCTCCCTTAAAGATTTACAGCTTCATAAACTCAACCAAAGGTCACCAAGTGGGTTTGGTGTTAAAAGGAGCTTATGTCAGGGAAAGTAGCTTGAAAGGAGGAAGCAGTGTCTAGTTTTCTCTTTTTCAGAAAGAGGGAAATGTCTTCTTCACAACCACCACATTGATCTGACGTCCTGATCAGAAGAACCACAAGATGATCTCAAAGCTGAACCAGCTCAGGTTTCCAAGACGGTTACACAGCCCTGTCCAACTCACCCTCCTAAGTAAAAGAGCTGTCTGTCCTGTTGTCCAGTTCTGGATTGCTCCAGTAAGTGGAAATCTCCCTGATAAAGGTGGAATTTGCCTTCCTATTGCTTCTTTTTCCAGGAGCACACTCAACTCTGCTCTCTGCAGAGGCAGAGGGTAGGTAGGTGAACCTCCTTTTCTGTATGAGTTAGGATTGGCATTTATCAAGAGAGAGCAGAAAGCATGAAGACATAGGCCTAATCTATGGGCTGACGGAGCCAATCTGCCATCAAGCAGGAGTCACACCTTGTCACCAGTCCTACGAAGAGTAACAGCAACATGAGTCTTTAAACTTACAAAGCCCCATCTAATCAGAATCCCATCTCTCCGTTAAAGGGGGCTGAGAGCATATTAAGAACTACATAAACTATGAGACATACTGGCACCACAACCCCTATCACATACATCCCTCAAAGGACTAGATTAGAAAACTATCACTTCGGAACTAACTTCCCAGAACACCCTAAATCATAAAATAACTTGAAAAGTTAACTGCAGCAGGTGATGCCACAAGAAATGAGTATCCTCACTATGTCTTTGAGAGACAATGGTTAAATATCTATCGGTTCAGTCATATCACAGCACTGAGATTTAGAATAGATTGTTCATAGTACAAGGTGACTATTACAAAGAACAGAAGGGGGGGGTTGAAATCTGTTCTCAAAGACATATGTTCAAGTACTAATCCATGGTACCCTGACTGAAAAAAAAAAGGGGGGGGGAGGTTCTTGGCAGATGTAATATATAAAGGTGAGCTCATTTAGGAGTCAAGTTCTAATTCGACAGCACACAGCAACACAGACTGGCTTTTAGAGTCGGCCCTACATTCAAAGACTGGTGTCTACAGAAGAGCAAGTGGAAGAGCTGGATACACAGACAGACACAGACAAAGGAAGGCCATGTGATGATGAAGGCAAAGACAGAAATGATGCAGCTAACGTAAGGCAAGAAATACCAAGAATTGCCAGCAATCTTGGAAGAAACAAGGGAGGATTTTCCCCTAGAACATTCAGAGAGAAGGTAGCTCTAGCCCTATGAATTTCAGGGATTTAAATTTCTAACCATCTTGAACTGTGAGAGACTAAAACTTCTGTGGTCTTAAACAACCTAGTTTGTAGAAATATGGATAACATCACTACAAAACCAGTATCGTCTGTAACAACAGAACTAAACTAACAGAAAAAATTTAAATGACAAACATAAATTCCTTTCATATTTGGTAATACAACATTAAAGGAAATAAAAACTGCCATTAGCGTAAACTTTTTCACTTTATACAAGAAAATATTCTACTTTCAGCTCTGAATTGCAGCTTCTCACAAGAGCAATACATTCGTTGTATGTGCTTCAAAAAATAACGTAACCAAAAACTCTTCAAAGAAATTTGTAAACTTTTTCTTGAAGTTACATAAAAAAATAATTACTGAACATGTATATATTTTCCATTACTAATTACAATGAAGGTTAATTTTATTTCCTCTTTTGTCTGAACCTAAAGTATGTTATAGAATTCTTACTAAAACACATATTGCTATCTACTGATACACTCTCTGAAGATGGCTAATGTTGAATTCATCATCTTCTGCTGGAAATGCACCACAGTATTGGTCAAGTTTCAACATATGAAAGTGAAAGATCCTATGAACACGGGATACAGAGTAATACAGCAAGAAACAGTAAGGAGCAAATTCAATGGCTATGTTACTGTCAGGATCAACATATGAATAAATTTAAAGGTGCTTAAGAGTATAGGTGTCTTTAATTTTCAAGCAGACCCCAGACTCAGCCAATGCATTTTTGTTGATACTATAATTAGCCTTTCATAGCTTATGAAGAGTTATCACATACATTAGCTACTCAAATCCTCGATAAGCAGCAAGTACTATGTTGCTATGTCTATTGCACAAAGGAGGAAACCGAGCTCCAGAAGGAGTGAGGGACTTGGTCCATGTTTATGACACTATTAAAGCAGAGCTGGGCTCCTGGCTCCCAGTCAACAGTTGTTTCTATTAACCCACAGAGGCTTCCATAACAACCATAGAAATAGGACTAATTCCTGCATAGATTTTCCTCACTCTGGTCCTTAGCCACAATGTGTACAGATCAGGGAGAGGAGGGGAGAGAATGGTGATGGTCACAAAACAAAACACATTCTAGGTGGGCACAGTTTGTGATTAAACGTTCTATATGGTTTTCTATTAGAAAACAATTAGGAAATAAATACCTAATACACAGACTTACAGTTCTGAAACTTAAAGATATCTCCTGAGGAGCCACTGGTCTTTTTCTACACCACAGGCCGGAGGAGGTCACCTCCAAGAGGTCACACCAACAACCAGTAGCTGGGCACAAAGAGTGGAAACTGTCTTCCACACTGTTCTTTGACTGAATTTCCCAGTTAAAGGACGAAGCATAGTCCACATATTTATAAGGAACCACTACAGACCTAGAGAGATTACTAAATTTAGTCTTAGCAGCCTCATGAGTGTAAAACTTCTTGATAAAACATTTAAAGCAGTAGGAATGCCAATTATTTCCTAGAAGAAAAATCTTCACCACATATACAATCAACAGAGGACATTTTCACTGCTAAAGTTAAGGATAATGTCTCAAAATAGGACTTTTTCTTCCTCCCTTTCGATACATATTTTTAAAAGTTTGCTATTATAATAGATTGAAGTACATTCAGACACAGGACAAACCTCTTTAAGATGTTAACATCTATTAACCAGCATGAAGAATACAAAAAACCCCAACATCTTACTGTTTGATCATCATTTCTAGATACAGTTCTCCTCAGTTTGTTATGTAGCTGCAATGTTATCCCATCCATGTGTCTTCAAGCCAGTTCCCTTCTTTAATTTAAAAATTAGGCGATGAAACATAGCCGAAGCTTAACCGAACAACAAATTTAAATATGGCTTAACTTTGTAAGCCATTTGCTACTTAAACAATATTCATGTCCACTTTAAAAAAATAAATAATCTAATTAGATCTTATTGTACCTGTGAGTCTTTCAAAAGACTTCTTCACTCCCCAATCTAATATGAAAGGTGTTTTTGGAGAGGCAAAAATCGAAGGATTTTCTAGATAGTATTGAACATCATTCCATAGGAAAAAACAAATTCTTTATGTTGACTGACAGTAAATCACAGAGATGATAGAAAATATTGACAGTAAAATTAGTTGGGTTTTTTTTTTTCATTTACACGATCACTTTCATACTTTAAGACAAGGTCTAATCTATTGCAAATGCCGGTGCTGCAGGACAACTCCATCCTTCAAGTTCTGGTCAATCCGAGGAAGGTTTTCTCCAGACGTGCAGAGCTGCCTGAATTCTGAAGTGCAGTCGGGACTCCATGGAGTAATCTTTGTAGTTGTTTCTGAAGACAAGAACAGTAAGATATTATGTATTATTAACAATATTTTAGAACAATATACAATCTAATAAAAATCAAAACAACCTTGTACAGCAGGGACCCATCCACTTCCTTTTCTTTCTAACCCTTGGTTCTTACTGGCTTTCAAACTTAATATATATACAACAATGGACAGTATTAAAATGCAGATTATGGCTCTGTGAGGCAGTTGCAGAGGTGGAAACAATATGCTACACTTCTAAAGATCTCCTATTGGTTGTCCAAAGACCACACTTTGAACAGCAATGTTCTTGCTCTCCGAAAAGAGTAACAAGGTTATAGAAGCTCTTTCTGAAACACATTTTATGGTTCTTCCTGAAGAGATTAACTTCCTTCTTGGTGTTGCAAAAACCTGAGGAAGTATCATGTAAATGACAACCTTGATCAGTCAGTCACTCCAAAAGTAAAAGAGAAATGAAGACACAACAAATGTGATACAGAGTATCATAATATCATCAGCAAAGACTAGATGGAGGGCATAAAGATCTCTCGGTATTACTTTTGCAACTTCCTGTGTATCTATAATTAGTTTGCAATGAAAAGTTGGGAAATACTAAAAGAAAGCAGGTTTGTTTGGTGATACCAGGATGAGAGGAAGCTCCTTCCTAAATCTTTTATTAAGCTCAGTTTGTTGGTAAGTCAGAACAGTCCAGTTAGTACACAAGTCCAGTTTGTACAAAGGCAGTTCACGTCTCACATCAGTGAGTCAAATGGTCGCCTTGCTGACAGGTGCCGTCAAGTCAGCCCCAACTCAGCGACCCTGTGCACAGCGTGATCCCGCGGCATCCTCACAATGGCCGCCACTGCGGTCACTGTCGATCCATCACATCCAGGGTCTTCCTCCTTCCAAGCATGAGGCCCTTCCTCCCCTGGTAGCATGATCAAAGTGAGACCGTCTTTACTGCGAAGGAGCACTCTAACCACACTTCTTATGAGACAGGTGTGTGTTTCCTGTGGGCAGTCAGTTCACTGTACAGTCAGAACTGTTCATCAGCCCCATGTTGCTTGTCTCTGTGTACCTTTTCATGCATATAAACTAAAATGAAGCACAGATACACTAAAACATCGTTACCATAATAATACAGTAGTAACGACACTGTGATTCACAGTCACAGAAGCAGCACCTATTTTTCAGCCTTTGTGGGAGTAGCTGGTCTGTACTCATACATAAGCCTGAGAGTCCTAAATGGGACTTTATACTAATTTCAATTCTCACAGACAAACATCAATGGCTTTACTATTATGTATGTGTAATACGGTTAGAGGAACCACAGAAATCTGCAGGTAATCTAAAAAAGGGAGCTGGGATTTGAAGCTTGCACATACTGCCCTGTCTCTCTCTCACTGCCGTCAAGTCAGAACCAGCACATAGCTAATACCCAGCAGTTTTTGAGGGACTATAAAGTGCACAGGAAGAGATTACCCGTGTTATCCTGAGTAGCCAGTATATTTGAACTGCTGGCCTTTGCTTTGGCAGCACAACTCCCAACCCACTAGGCCAGCCTGGCTCATGACCCATGGATGGGTGGTTGCTATTGTTATTGCTCTTCATGTTATACAGGTCTAAGGGCTAGCACAGGAGCCATGAGGAGGACGCTGCAATATGTGCTGGTCTGCTAAGCAAAAGGTCAGCGGTTTGAATCTAAAAGATTTAATCTCTGTTTAATCTCTAGGAGAAAGACAGGCAATCTCCTCCCAAAAAATATTTACAACTTCAGAAACACTCTGAAGGGTCGCTGTGAGTCAGAATCACTGGCCAACAGAGGATTGGGTTGGGTTTTAAAGGCTAAAAATGAGGTCAAGCCCAGAGGCAATGAGGGTGACTGAGAATGTTTCATGCTACTGTGAACAGGTCTGCAGTGAGATAAAGTCAACTAGACCTGAACAGCACCTTCCAACAGCAGAGGCCATGCCTCTCCGCTGGCTCAAGTCCGCCAGCAGCTCCAAGATAGGAAGATGGGCCATCTCCTGCTGTGCAATTCAGAGCCTCAAATACCCAAGGGAGGGTCGACCAGGAGTCAGTCCTGACTCCAGGGCAGCCAGTGGGAGCACCTGTTAGGATGTTAACAATGGCCGTCATCCCTGCAGGAACCACAGCTGACCGCAGGTACAAACCTTTCCAGTCCACACCAATCAAAGTAAAGCTGACCTCAGCACTTACCTCGCCATTTCTAAAACCTTGATGGCCTTGTCGATTTCTCCTTGGCTTTTGTACAAAAATGCCAACTCAAATAGAGTAAATGGCACTAGGTAGTGGTCATACTTCAGCAGCTTTTCACTAAAAAAGGCAAAAAGTAAAAGGCAATTAATTTTTAACAAAACAAGATACGTACCATTCTACTATCTTGCCCATTACTTAGAAAGCAATTCAAGACAACGTAGTATTTGAAGGTAAAACTATCATTATAATGTTACGGAGCCTAAAAAAAAAGTAGCAAAAATAGTATGCTTTTCTTATTTTATTCCTTAATTTAGAGTCAGCACTGAGGACTGGCCACTTCCCCTGCAGGCAGATTGCTGAAGAGGAAAGCTGGAAATGGCAAGACACTCTTATAGGCTGTGGGCATGTCAGGAAATGATTCCATGTAGAAATAAGCAAACAATGTCATTTCTCACTGATGCTCAACTCCCTTTACATTTTTTGACTCTTGTGAAACTAAGAGCCCTGGTAGCAGAGTGGTTGGAAACTCGACTACTATCCAAATGGTCAATGGTTCCAAACTGTCCAGCTGCTTCATGAGAGAAAGCTGCCGAGCAGCCGGTAGATTTGAACCATGAACCGCTGTGTCTGCAACACAACTGTTACTAGTAAGTCACCAGAACTCACTCTGTTCTCTAGTACTCACAACTGACAGCAGCATAAAAGTACAACATTTAAAAGGTTCATGAAGATTCTAGTTAATACTTGCTATAAAAGCAAGCACAAAATTTTCAAAAACCAAAACCAACAAACCAGGAGCTTAGCTCAGGAGAACTTTAAAAAAACCTCTCTGGTACCAAAATCAAAGCTGGGACACCCTGAGGCTGGTAAAGAAATGCCTGGTGACCCAGCCCAGGAGGAGGGGAAGCTGGCAAGAACTGACTCAATCGTCAATACTACCCTGTTCAGATACACAGATACAAATAAATCATGCACAGGCATCGCTTACTGTTTTAAGAACAAAACTGAAAACAAGCCAAGAATTTGGACACAAGTTCAAGCAAATAATCTAGGTACCTATATCTGAGAAGTAAATAGATAAAGATTTAGAGATTTTTCATGAAAGTCCAATTTCAGATTTTTCTTGAAAAATTGTTGGGAGTGAGACCCACAGCATGGAGAGCAGTAATGGGAGCTGAGGAGGTGCTCTGCTCTCAGGGAACGAGCTCTCTCTGCTGTGGGCTCCAACAACCCCAGCTCCCGCCACCACTCAGCCTGCTTCACTGCGAGGCCACTGACTGGCCCTGTTCACTCTCCTTGTAGCCAAAAGGGTCAGGCATCAAGCACTGAGTCAACTCCACGCTCTGAAAAGTAGCAGGACATCACCATCAGTGCTACTGAGAAATTAAATTTAAAAAAACCAAAACCAAAAAAACCGCCAACGTATACACAGCAGGAAGAAAGAGGCATAACACTCAGCACATCCTTTCTTCTCAGTAAGTCTAGAATCCCAAAGATGGCAAAGCCTTTTCACTCAGCGCTGAATTCTCAACACCCAGCAGCTTGGAGGTGCCCAGCTGATACCCGATCACCGAGCAATAAGTGAAAAGACAGACACATGCATGAACTGAAGAAGGCTCAGAGGAGCCAGAAATTGCTGTCAGATTCAAATGTACTAGCTGTTTTTTGAGTTCTTGTGCCTCATCTCCTGACCCCCAGAGGAAGAGCACAAAGTCTTATTGCAGTTAAGGTTGTGATTTGGTTCAAAAAGAACAAATTCAGCAAGGCTGTGTCTTCTATCTGGGAACACCACGCAAAGGCTCTGCAGCAGGTGATAAAAGCATTGCATAGCATGTTCTAATGGCCGGCCATTCTCCAGAAGCTACTACCTGGCCAGTGAGTTAGTTTCAGTGTTTGTCTTTACCTCTGAATAATATGATTGAAACACAGTTCGGCTTGCAGCGGCCGCTGTAAGTTCTTCAGGCAACATCCTTTCAGTAACTTCACCAAGCACTCGTCATCCATGGAGTAATCATTCAATTCTTAAAACAGGCACAAAACACAGCAGGAAAAAGGCATTTAAAAATCCTACTGGAGATCAACAGTTCATTCGGTGTCATCAGATCATTTAAAAAATGTTTTTAAAGTTTGTTATGTCTGGTAAAATAAAATACAATGGAAAAAGTCCTTCTGGAGGACATTCTGTTGAGTGACATAAAAGACATGTTGGTTCTGTTGGTTAGCCATAAAAGAGTAAATTCTGGATGTATCCAGTATAGCAAAAAGCTAAGGCAATATTTACACACACAAACATCCTCTGATGGTAAGCAGGTAACAGATACATATTAAGATGAGTTAAAGGGAAGGCAATATATAATAAGGGGATGAGCACGACATTATCAAGTAAACAAAGAGAAGTCAGAGGTTACAAAGGTGGGAGAATGTAGTCAGAACGTGGATATTGTAACTGATGCTATAAAACAAAATACACGGGGACAGTGGAATGGAACACCAACTGTTTCTGTAAAATTTTACATTAAGCCACACACCCACACACCCCCCCCCACACACACACACAAAATCAGTAACAACAACAAAAAAGGCTGAATTTACTGCATTAGGAGACCACAGTATCTGCTTTAAAACAACAAACAATTGGAGGGGTTATACTCTTGAGTTATGTGACCATAGATCCAACAGCAGGAAACCTGAACTCGACGTAAAATAAAGGCTTTGTCAGTTCTGTAAAAGCTGAAGGGCCATGTGGAGCAGGACGCTCCCTCCTCCTGAGGGTCTGGTTTTCAGCCGGGCTGGCTCCCAGGCAGGAGAGGAGAGCACTCCCATATGGAGAAGCAGATGGCCTTCTCCTCATTAAAAATTCAGGAAGTAAAATGCCCTCTCCAGATCATTATGTTTACAACTTATTATCAATTCTCCCAGGTTATGTTCTTTTGGGGGAAAATTAAGTCATAAAATTAGACAAAACAGTTCTGAAGTACATGAACAGCACCTAAAATGTTCCCAAACCTCTCAGTGCTTGAGAGAGAGGGAGCGAGAAAAGATTGTCTTTCATACTTTTCTTTTTCCCCTTCTGGAAGTGACTTTACCTTGTAGAGCCCTCGGCAAACAAGTATTAAACACAAGATATCGTACTACATTGGACATCTATCTCCCACTCTGGGATTCTATTTTTCTGTAAATTATACTCAACAAAGAAGTCATTCCAAGACTAATAATTTACACAATTTCAGGCTGTGACAACACAGATGGGAAGATAGTAAAATGAAGTCATGAAGACACAGGATTCCACACTCTGGATGAAAGGCTCCTGCTAGTAGCAAAAGCCCTCAGACATCATCTCTCACATGTGCTGTTTTTCGGGGTGCTTTTTTTATATCTAGCAAAAAATCTGTCGATGGGAGGTTAATGATGCTACTTAGCTAACTTAGAATGGGGTAACGACTTCTGGCTGCTGAGAACAGCTAAAATTTCCTTCCAGCTTCCAATCCTTGATGGTCCATTTACCAAAGAATTCACAAGTATCAGTACCATATTACCTTCCCTATTACTTATTGTGAATGATCATTATACACGATATTCATTCAATAAACAACAACTTTCAGGGCCTCGAACCAAAAACCGTTAGGGTAATTACTGGCCGTTACTTTGTATTACCGTTTTTGTGCATACAGTCAAGCTCAGTACAGCATTTTATTGACAAGCTGTATTATCACCACAGCCTAGTATTCAGTGGATAGTGGTTTTGCCAAAGGAAAACATGAATCTCCAGAAAGCCACACTTCATTTTTGTTTAGAAAATGAATGAATGGCAAACAGGTTAAAAATACTGCTTTCCTCCAAAACCCTCAAAAAACAAGACCATTATTTCCTCAGAGTACAGAACAATATCTATCTGATGATTGCTTTTCCCTTAAGATCTGCTTTACTGTGATTTGCAGCCTCATGTGGGTGTTCACAGATAAAGCTCTCAACACTGGTTCCATTTTACAGTCAAAGAAATGTCTTTGTGTCTGAAAAAAAACACAAGAGGTTTAAAAAAGTCAGAGAGCATCCGGCTACGGAAACGACTAACTGAAAGCAGCACAGCGGTGCTCTCCTGGGGGGCTCTGGAGCCCAAGCCCCTCCTCCTCCGCTGCAATAGCTTTATTGAGGTGGAAGTCACACCCCATGCAATTCAGCAATTCATCCACTTAGAGCGGACAACTCAATGGTGCAACCACCACAGTCAACTGCAGATGCTTTTCATCCCCATGCCCTCTGCCCTCTGCCCTAGACAGCACCAACGTGCTTCCTGCCTGTGGCTTCCTTACTCTGGACATCTCCTAGAAACAGGGTCCTGGAAGCAGCTCGTGGTCTTCTCGACTGCTCCGCTCAGCACGATGCTTTTAAGGCTTGTCTGTGCTGCAGCAGGCAGCATCCCTCCTCCTCTCCTGCTGCCGCTCCGCTTCTCACGGCCGCTCGCAGATTATAGCGCCGAGAGGCACGGAGACGACAAACCATGGGCACAGAGACACAACTTGAAGATTTTTTTTTCATACTTACTTGCATTTTGCAAAGCAGCCTCGGCCTTTTCAACAGTTACCAGCAAATTTTCAGAAAGGTCTTTTCTTTTGCTCACTACAGGAAAACCATTCCAGACATACATCATTTCCTAATGAGAAAAAAAACCCCAATCATTTGCAATTATGTGAGATTATGCCACACCCTTGGGTCCTTCCTGTCCTTGGTCACCAGCCTCACGGGGATCGTATTCCTTGGCTCTTCTCATTCGGAGTTTCAGGAGATAATTTACCATTCTCTCATTTTATAATAAGGCTTTGGCTTTTGATATTATAAAGGAATTCAGGGCCGTTATCTTTATTTCATTAATTATTTTATTCATTTACTAAACAGTTATTAATAATCTACTGCTATTTAATCCTCTTGGACAGATGATCAAATAAAGAAGCATACAGTATTTTAAACTGATTTAACAAACAATTCCATTTATGTTGTAATTTTTAAGTAAAAGGAAACATTTTTAATGCTTGCCAGTTGTTTACATAAAATGTTTCCAAGAATGTCACTGGAAATGAACATGAGAGCTATTTTCCTGGGCTCCGGTCCTTTTAAACTATTAAAAACATGTGACAGACCAGTAATGCAATCCGATATGCAGAAAACACATTCACTTAAAGGCCATATGGCTGAAAGGCAGCTCCTGACAATGTACACGGATGATTTCTCATAGCAGATTACATTTAATGGGCCCAGCAGATGAGAATTTTTTTTGGACCAACAGCAAAGGCACTTTTGCTTGAAAATATTTTTCTAATTTTTCTAGTAGTATAGCTCAGGGCTTGCAGGATATGCGAAGAGGAGGAGAAAGCTGGGTAATTAGGATCTTCTGGAAAGAAATAAATTGCTTGAAAAGACTGCTATCAGGCAAATGGAACTGAGGAAGACACACAAGCACAGAGTGGCAATGTTAGCTTCACCTTCGTGCTGCAACTAAGCGCATGACTCAATTAAAGCAGGACTTAAGAGCATCCTTAACTTACCATGTGCTGTGGCACAGTCCTTAGGGAGCTGCGCTGCTAAGCCAGAGACCATGCCTCGCTGGGGGTTCGAACCCACCAGTAGTTCTTGGGAAGAGATGGGCAATTTCCTGCCATGTGATTCACAGCCTCACAAAACCAGTAGTGGGTTAGCCCAGTCAGTCCTGTCTTTTTAGCGAGGAGTCAGAGTTCTGTATCTGATCACTAACAGCCCAACAGTTCAACTCTGTAACTGACTGACTATTTCAAAAGAAGAATAAAGTCTGCTGTCAAAGCCCTTCTGACTCATATGGACCACAAATCCAGTCTATTTCCCATACACATTCTACGTCCGTAAACCAGTGTAGTGAATTCATCTTCTCTAAAGTCTTGAATAATGAAACTTGTGTACAGTTACAGACACTAGAATCTAAGTACAAGGGCTGAGAAACAACTATGCTATTTCAGAATGCTTTCAGGAAATTTCTTAGAAGCAAAAATAAAAAAATGGCCCAGTGTAAACCACTTGATAATGACAAGCCAGAAACCTGCAGGGGGACTGAAGCCAGCTGTTCACTGAAGGGCTTTCCTGTGCTGCTCAGGAAAGAGTCTCCAAGTCTCACAGTGATGTGGTCTATTAGTCTTTCTTTAAAAAAACCCTCACTAAAAACTTTTCACGGAACTGTAACCGAAATGACAAAAAGATGACAAATGAAGCAGTAGGACTGCACTGCCCGGACACTTGTGGCTTCACAGACCCTGAAACACCATCCATCCAACTGAGACAGTCAGGAAATGTCAAACCAATGCCAGATATTGACAGGAAGTCTGAATAACAGAAGCCTTACCATTCTCTAGAAAAGAGTCTGGTGGATTTGAAACAACAACCTTTTGGTTAGTAGGCAAACATGCTACAATACCCGGACTTCTTAAGATAAATTTAGGTTTGCTCTGACGGCTTAGTCATAAGGAGTTGTGCTGCCAATTCAAAGACATACAGTTCGAATTCACCACCTGCTCTGTGAGAGAAGAATGGACAATCTCCTCCTTTGTGATTTACTGCCTCTGAAGACCTGATGGAGGGTCTGCTATGAGTTGCTTCCAACTTATACATAACAGCAATATACACTACGTGAGACAAAATATATAGTCTTAAAATTAATTTCACTGGATGAAATATGTTTACAGCATTGAAGTCTATGGGGGAGAGAATAGTCTAAAAGTATTATATTTTAGGGCATTATTTTTATTGTAGGAGTAT